AGCCGTCGAACTATTAGTTTGTAAAGAAAAGTAAGTAAGTAATGTAAATTTTATCCAGGTAAGCATAATCTACCATATGAATTCAAAATTAAAACTAGCCAACTTGAGAAACTAGAAAAAAAAAGAACTAACTAAAACTGGAAAATGTGAGTCCAGGCCAAGCTACCTAAGCAATGCTTGTGTTGTAGTCATCAACCTGGATTACATTGATTATTTACATATTGAGTGGTGAGTAGAAAGAAAGAAACAACAAAGTAAAATTCATTGTGAGGGCGAGAGAATATAGTTATTTATTGTATTTTGTATTTCTTATTATTATTCGAGTTCGTATACGGTTTTTAGTCTGCTATAATTTTGGTTCGCATATTCTTTTAGTTTTGATTTCATTTTACGTTTATTAGGAATGCCTCTGATTTCTATAGGGACTAGGTTCAACAATTTTGGATCAAAGTGTGATATGAATTTCTGTGTGTGTTAGTCTACAGAGGGGAACATTTGTTTTCTGCTCAGATTCAGTTCGTGTGTTGCAAGTATGACTTATCCGAGAGATGGAGGTGTTTTAGATCCATATTGAGCATTGATAGGTATATAGTTTTCTTACATCAAATAAATAAGTTTCTTTGTAAAGGTTTTTCAGTTGAGTACCTTCTATTTTCCCTAAAAATTATTTCTGATATGGTATTTTGCATTATCTGTAGAGCGTATAATAATGTTTCACTGAGACCACCCTATATAATGATACAAAACCTAAATAAAGATTCAGTGAGTGACCTGTAAATCGCGAGTAAAAACTTTTTATTATTCAGATTTTTGATTTGATAGAACTTAAAAACTAACTTATTAAGACTCTTAACTTTGTTGTCAATGTGTTCTTACACGTATACCTACTTACACCCAAATACTTCATGCTGTCAACTTTTTTTATTTTTGGACACGAACACTGCGTCGTGGTTTGGCGTAGATACTTATATGAACAGTGAGAGTGTTATTTTTTAACGGTTGGTCTTTTGTTGTTGTGGTGAATTCAATGAACTCAATTTTTCCCACATTCAGACTCAGGAGGCTCACATTCAACCAAAAGAGTAAAAATTTGAGCCCTGTTTCAGCTTTCTCATAGACTTCATCCCAGGAATCGCCTTCAAATAAAAGTGCTGTATCGTCTGCGTGAGACATTATTCTGCCATTGATAGTGAATGATGAAGTTTATAAAAACTGATAATATAGATAAAAAATAAAATAATAATATGTTATTTACCATTTTCAATTCAACTTCTTTCCTTTTTCATAATATATAGTTTCTCCTTTAATCGACAAATTGGTGATGTGTAGTAATCTTTTCTGTGAAAAGAATATTGGCAGTATATAAAAGTATATCAGTCAACTGAAAATTTGCTTCTTCTTCACCTGTTTATCTGTTTAAAAAATCTGTCTTTCCGTTAATCAGCTGTCACCCTTATACGAATGACAACTCTCTCTTGTGCGAACTAAGGACTAACGAGGTCTTACCTCTCAACGTGTGATTCCTAACACGGTTGCAGAATCATCCCAGCTTCAACCACATAAATTCACTCGAGAAAAATATCTGGTCGAGGCGGGAATCGAACCCACGGCCTTCCGATCGTGAGTCGAGTGCACTACCACCGCGGCCAATTCCATCTACATATAATTTTATTTTTTCACATTGCAGGAATTTGAATAGAAAAGCGTTTGAAAAAACAACAGTCCATCATATAATATTTGTCTATTTGTTTATTACTAATAGTGGTACCAATTTATTTTCAGAGTACCTGCCGGAATATATGCGATGCCACAGACACGTAGTCTTACAAAATCTCAATCTGACCATCCTCAGAGGGGGTGCTTACAGTGATCTCCAGTGCGATTTTCTGAGTCTGAAACGGAACAACATCCAGGCTATCCATCCAGGCGCTTTCAAAGAGTCTTCCATTATAAATCTGGATCTATCGGAAAATTTACTGAAATGTCTTTTCACCGATCGACTTCCACCGAACGATTTGGAAGTACTAAATCTGTCTAAGAACAAAATCACTTACATTGAACCAGGTTCATTTCCCTCAACAATTACTGATCTGGATTTGAGTTTTAATGGTATCACTGAATTCGATATAGACAACTTCGATAATTGCGAAGGCATTCGTAAACTTAGGTTGGCGGGAAATAGACTTGTCTCACTGATTTTGAATAAAGATTTGATGACGAAGTTGGAAAATCTAGACCTGAGTTATAATAGCATACACCAATACAATTTTTCCGATTTGGTCAGTCTCTCTCATCTGAACTTGAGAAGTAATAAATTGAGACGACTGATGCAAAAATCTTTTTCGAATCTGGATAACTTAGAAGAGCTGGATTTGTCTAATAACAAACTAGATGATGCACTTATCATGTTAGAACAATTTCCGAAACTACTTATACTCAAACTGCAAAATAATAATATAAAACAAATACAGTACAATCTCTTTCTGAGCTCGAAAAATCTAGGAGACTTGGATTTATCTGGTAACAGTTTGCAGAACTTCAACTTCACCAATTATGAGCTGCGGAAATTGTGGCGCTTGAAGTTGAACAACATGGAGTTGAGGCAGATTCACTCGTCGCAATTTTTGAACTTGAATGCTCTGTACGAATTAGAATTGTCTTATAATTCCTTGTCAAATTTCGAAGATTTTAACATACCAACTCTATGGCGACTGGATCTGAGTTTCAACCGTTTAACAAGAATTTGGAATAATTTTATACACTTGAAAGCTTTGGGGAGCTTAGATTTGTCCCATAATAACATCTATCGGTTCAACATCGAAGATTGCGATCTGGAAAGAATTTGGAAAATCAAACTGAATAACAATTACATTGGGAGAATAAGTGACAGGCACTTACCGAACATGAAATTCCTTTTGTTCCTTGATTTATCCAACAATCATTTGAAAACCTTCTCCATTTCAGAGAACAAACTGAGCCGATTGAGAATCATGGATATATCTTCCAACAACATCTCTCACTACGATGAAGATACTTTTGAGAGTTTCACAAACTTGCGATTCTTGAGTTTGAGAAATAACTTCATAGGTCAAGTTCCCTCATATATTTTATTCGAAAACTCCCAGATGTTTCACCTAGATTTGTCGTACAATCTGATAACTTCTTTCAAATATAACAGACATCTTTTGAATACTACTCTGAAGACTTTCAACATCTTCGGAAATCCAATTAACTGTATTCATCTCAGGCAAATAGAGGAGTTTTGTCATCAAAACCGAATTGACCTGAATATTTGTGATGAGCACTGTAGAGCCGACGGAAAAACTCCAGTTTGTGTTGACTATGGGTGTGATTGTGAAACTGTATTCAACTCGTTGACAGAGATGTACTTACGACAGGTACATCAAAACAGTATTCAAAAGTGTAGCTTTGAAGAATTGACACATAATCTAGTTTGACAATAAATGCTTCTGAATGAAAAGTTCATTTTTGTAGCTTATTATATTCCAAGTAAACTACAGAAGCTTAGAACATTCTCAACAATCAATAGTTTCACCACCGGAACAGTTCAGTTTCAGTCATCCCCAAACATAAATATTTCATCTTCACCCGCTGCTTCTCGTATAACGCCCTTAAACATTATAATGAACTATCTTGTGAGTTTCGATCTTCTACAATTGAAAAATTCAAAAAAAGGTTAGAAACCTATTCAATTGTCTAGTGTCTTCTCCGTCCCCGACCTTGGCAGTACAAAAATAAATTTTCTACAGCGGTTGAATTACTAATTTCCTGATCTTGTCATTACAGTATTACTGTTAACTCGTCTTTAATTAGTACTATTCCAGGTTGAGTTGAAAAACAGCTTTGGCTGATACTACGCCTGTTCACCATTTCTTTTTCTTCTGTTTGTCTATTGCAATAATTGTACTTTTTATGGTGAATGAAGACGTATTATTCACCTAATTCTGCACTGGTCAGGCCTTATCTTCCGAAGCCCCGATACATTCAGAAGGGTGCGTTAGCATTATATACTAACGACTACTCCCCACACCGTGGAGTAGGCGATCATTGGGACCGAGAATCCTGTGCCGTGAGCAAGCGCAGTGAGCCAAGACCGACAGCCTTCTAAGTTAGTCCGGCTAAGATTTTTGCCTTAGTGTGGCAAGCCGGCATGACTTTGAGATTAGAAAGTAGATAGGGCATCATTCCACCAAGCACTCCAATAGTCAGAACAATCATTTTGACAGAGTGGTCCGTATAGAGTCTGTGGAGTTCGAAGAGAAAACCCCATTATTTTATCCGTTTTCCCCCTCTTTTCGAACGATATTCGTATCGCCAGGAGCTGAAAACTTTACGTCAAATATTGTCATGCTCTGGTGGTCGAGAAGGACTACTTCAGGCTTATTAACTTGAACGAGTCCGAGGGTGGGGAACCAATAGTTCCGATGAATTCGGTAATTCTCGTTACCCACAACGGATTCAATATCCCCGGAGCGTAGCCCAACAAGTGTGTCTTATCGATACCGTAAGAGTACCATAGGTGGTAATAAAGCACTTTTAGGGCTGCGTCATGTCGATGAATAAAAACTGCGACCACATTTGCTGGATATTCTGACAGCAAGTGCATTAGGGTCTCAGACGCCTCGCGGCTGGTCCTGAACCTTGTATGAGGAACCTCTATACCTATCACGCGACTGCGGTAGACTAATGTGTTGAAGACACCATATTAGCAGGCCATGATGAACCCTCAGTTTTCGACTTCAGCCCACTCTACCTGAGGAAAGCGAAGGCCAGGCACTTTGATAAGATAACGTTTTCAATGTCGGCTTATCCTTGTGTTGCCACCGGAATGGCTTTTATACGGGCGTTTTGCTGAACGGGTGCCAGCCCGGTGACCGAGTTGTAAACATCTTATTCAGTTCATCAGCTGCTTCGAAGTGAAATGCCCTATTTCCTGCTCTCTCATGGTTGCGAACCATATAGATAAGGGGATTCGAACGCCTGACGACTTTAGCATCTATATCCAGTACCATTCGGTCACGTAGACACTCCAAACTCAAAAGTCCACGGTCTCCCTGTTGTCGGGAGAAGTACAACCGTGGAACGGATGATTTGGGATGCAAACTCCTATGGAGGTGCATCATTTTTCGGGTCTTTACGTTGAGTTCATACTGCTCCTCTAGAGTTCAAACGAGTGGAGTGAGAATGGAATGACTAAATGACTAGCATATTCGTTGCAGCAACTTTGTTCTTCCCCGACAATTCCGAATACCAGATTTATCGAGTTTGTGCTGATACTTGCCGCGGAGAGAGTTCTTCGCTGTTGTTATCTCCTGTGAGTGGCGTTGTTCCACCCCGAGCTAAGTAAGTATAAAGACGTATTACTACTAGTTGTCAGAAAGACTCATTTCTATGTAAAAGTCAACCCCTTTTCAGCCACACCGTTCCCATCACAATTCCGTGGCTTTTACATATAAAAATTTTTGAATACTGAACTGAAATCATAGAAATCTATCGAATGTTCAATGTAACGGTATATAATCCAAATCTTGGCCAAATGCGGTACATACTATGAGAAATTACTGAACACTCAGATCCGAAGGGGAAACCTTTTCAGAAGATGCAACAGCCCAAACCACAGAAAAACAGGGGGCCGAAACCCCCCTCGCTGGCAGGACGAAGGACGAAGATTCGAGAATCCTAGTGGATACTCATTCTATCACAAACGCCAATCCGGACCAGGACTTCGTCCACTTCATCGAATCTGCAGCACACCATTTTTATGCTGATGATATCAATCGACTTGTGTTACATTGGCTAAAATTCACTAATTCAAATGGCGCTTATTTCGATTGAATTGAATGGGTATTTACTGAGATATCACAGTTCAAATTAGACTCAGAAGAATGGAAAAAACTTTTGGAATAACTGAATGACTCAACATTTTATGCACACTCATTCAAGAATATTGTAATAACTGCCATTGCGATAGTAACATAAAATATTATTGTATTCATTGAAATCGAGGTCGATCACCCGATCCCTCGGACCTTCGAGAGTCGTTGTGGTCATGTACAAGTTGGGCTAGACTAAACAAATGACTATACTACATGCTGCCGATGAGCATATGATTGGGAAGGTTAAAAACGCTGGGATGAGGTTTTTGTGGCTGACGCGAGGGCTTGGAAGTTTTTGCGAGAGACAGAAAAGAGTGGGTCAACGGATCTCGTCGAGACGAGATCGGGGGTCTTATCCCTCAGCTAAAAAGAAAAAATAAATAAGAAAGGAGAATTTGTAACAATATTTTTGAATTTTTTTAAAGATACCTCAGTTATATCTAAATTTGTTCCATGTATGAGTCGAAGTGTCCGATCAATAGCCATAATTTGTAGTTGGAAACAAGCAACATTGTAGTTGTAATAAAATGGTGGCCATATTATTGAGCAGTAATCTAATTTTGAGATTACTAGAATCATGTAAATTATACTGATGACCTGAAGAGATAGATGTTTGCCATGTCAAATGATCCAATTCATTTTGCAGTTTTGCAGTCTTAACCACAATATGGTTTACTTGGTCTAAAAATTGAAACACATGCTGAACTCTGGCCATTAATTCAGTAAGAAGTAGCATTACCATTATCATCAGTATCATCAATATAACATTTCAAAAAGCAAAATCATTCAATATTCCAAGGTAAACTGTTTTCATAACACCATGTAACCAATCAACGATGTCAAGTGGCTTTAATGCGACATCATGACGAGCTCTTACGGAAACATTCAGTGACATCATTATTAAAAAAAAATTAATAACATTGGTGCACAGTGGGAACCCTGAGGTACCCCTGGTATAACCTGAATAATATATTAATATATGATACATGTAATACCTCAAACTTCAACTTCAATTAGTATACACTGTATCCTTTGCTTTCCAAAATATCCAATATTTTGTGTTTGAAGATAAAAAAGTCAGTTATAGTAGATTTATATTGTGACAATTCAATTATTGTTGTTTCTCACAATGGAATTTCAACTGGTCGGTGACTAATAAGTCCACGGTTTTTGCAAGTGAGGACTGATTACAAACATTTCGATAATTTTACAAATCCTGTTTATCTCCAGATCTAAATATAGGCCTACGTTGCCACCGGCCAAGAAATAAACTTGTATCTAATAAACATTCGAACAAATAGGAATTCGAACAGGTTATTCTTGAATAAGAATCTTGTTGATCTTCAAGAACCGCCTCTGGATGTGCAGACTGTATTGTCCCCAAAGCCGGTCCAGTACTTGACCTGATCTACCGAATTCAAAGAAATCTGTAGCCCATGTTAATGTTATGAGAAATATAATATGTGTTACGTTGGTTTTCAAAGGAATTCCCTGATCATTAAATGTATACTTTATAATTTCCTAGTAAGTGCACCAATAAGTTTTCTGGAAAACATGTACAGTGTATTATTTTTTTGTTGATAACAATTGTTAAAAGACATTTTAGAAGTGGTGAGTGCTTTTTAATGGCGAGTTTACATTCAGTGAAGGTTATGTATCAGTGGCGTCGTAGTAAATATTTCTAGGTTTATTGATAATTGCGTAAATTATTCTATATATTTTTTTTTCTGATTGATTCGGCCGTTACTTGATGAAGATCCATGGTAATTTCACGAACTACACCTAAACGATTTGATCTCCACAAACTTCAGTGAAAAAATATATCACAACATCTTTCGCTAAACCTTAGCTTTTTCAAGTGATTAATACATCAAATTATGCTTACATTCAGGTACAGGTAAGAAATTGCCTGAACCTCTACATCTCGTACCTGCTCAATTATGATTACCTAAAACAATACCTGAAGCAATGTGAGGCAATATGCTGCCAATTGCATAAGCAGGAAATTTTCTGTGGAGATTTCTGCACTGACGCCTGTCGGATATAATCCAACGCCGTTCGTGGTATTAGCCAGTGGAGTGGTTGTTTTCTGATGGGCGTCAGTCCATTCAACCTACTGTGTGTAGGTATATCGAGACTGACTTGAACGTTTAAAGTTCATTTCTTTAGATATATGATGGAATTGGTCATCCATGAAGACTGCGCTTGCGACTAGTTTCGTTTTCGAAAACAGAAACAAAAAACTTGTAAGTTTGGAAAACAAACTCGAAACTCGAATTCCACTAAACAGATAAAAATAAGTCTGAGTCGCGCGGTTTGTTGTGAACTGTTTTTCATCTTTTTTAACAACATAAACAGCATTTAAATTGCTACATTCTTCAATCGTCCATTGCTTTTTTCGGTCATGCTCTAATACAAAGAATAATTCAATTTGATTCTTGTTTGAAATAAACAACAATTCAACAAATCAATAAAAATTTTCTGCCCAGTGCCGATTACCGAAATTTATATTCACCACAGATTAACACTTTGAATAAAGTAATAATGTGAAAGTGAACTGAATTGTTGCTTCTTGTTGTCGCCTACCGTTACCATATAGCGAACTCTGATTACAAAACACCGAAAACTTTTGATCTTTCCTCCTGCAGAAAGGACGAAAACAAAGTCTTCAATATGTTCCTTATTTTGAAAAATCAAGTTTCTGTTTTGTCGAAATCGACAACGTTGCTGTTTTGTTGTGGTTTTATCCGTTTGGTGGAAATCCGCCATAAAACCTTCTAGATAAACTTCAGAAAACAAAATATCCATAGCTTTGTTTCATCGTCAATTGAAAACTGAAAATTATCAGTCAATTCAGTTGCCAGCCTTCACAAAACACAGATAAATGAACAACAGTTGCTGAACCGAAAACTTTGAACTATCTACTAACCAAATCACTGAAAAAAAAAAATATTTTAGGTTCAACAGTTGACATCATGAAAACGAAAAATGTTGCTGAACGAATTATAATTTATTTGTTATTTCTGAGGAGCAGGTGTCTGGCAGAAGTTCTGGAAACTGATATCGAATGTTTTGTTACAGAACCTGCGATTGAGATCACAGGTAAATATTTATTCCATTGTATCTGGCAACATCTTCAAATCAAGCTTTTCTTCTTCATCCAGTTTTTTGTTCACATCAGGGTTTTTGCAGATTGTTTTTTTGAATATTATTTATTGGAAAATAAGTCACTGGTTAAATAATTTGAAAGTCCGAAAAGGGGAGGAGAAACGGATAAAATATCAAGATTTTCTCGTCAAACTCCGCAGACTCTATCCAGACCACTCTGTCAAGATGGTTTTTCTGATTATTAGAGTCCTTGGTGGAATGATGCCCTCTCAAACTACGGTAAAAAAAATAACAGTAATAAGGCATTTGATACAATATCGCATGAGCTAATCTTGCATGCTCAAATGCCTTGAGGTACCTGACAAAATAGTGAGATGCATTGAACAACTGATACCACTCTGGCGAACTCGCTTCACCATAACATCTGGTCAAGCCAGAGGTCAAACAGGGTGGGTCACTTTTAGAAGGAGCGATTCCAAAAGTCTCCTTCTGCATCTCACTATTGCCATTACCCGCTCAGAAATACTCAAGGGTATAACTGTGGCACCCTCGGAAACCGGAGGCACAAGGTCCCCCATTTGTACTATATGGATGATCTTAAACTTTATGCCTCTGGAGAGAAGGATCTACATCAGTCCTTGAGGGAGGTGGAAAAGTACACGCATGCTATCGGTATGAAATTCGGAATAGACAAATGTGCAATGGTCCATCTCAAAAGAGGACGATGCGAGGACTACGAAGAGGATGTGCAGCTCGTAGATGGAAGCATCCTACACCATTTGGATGCCGGAAAGACGTATACTAACCTCGGGGTAAAACAAAGCCACTCACAAGAGGTAACAGCAGTGAAGAACTCTCTCCGCGGCAAGTATCAGCACAAACAGATCTGGACATTGGTACTGTTGGGGAAGAACAAAGTTGCTGCATCAAATATGTTTGCCGTTACAATCTTATTCTACTCGTTTGGAGTTGTGAAGTGGACACGGGAGGAGCTGTTTCAACTCGACGTAAAGGCCCAAAAAATTATGCATCTCTATAGGAGTTTGCATCCCAAATCGTCCGTTCCACGGTTGTACTTCCCCCGACAACAGGGAGGCCGTGGACTTTTTAGTTTGGAGTGTCTACATGACAGAATGGTACTGGATATGGCCTGTAAAGTCCTCAGGAGTTTGGATCCCCTTTCCTGCATGGTCCGTGACCATGAGAGAGCAGGAATTGGAGCATTTCTCTTTAGGGCAGCTACCTGAGTAGCTGATGAACTCGGTTTATTTTTCGACACAGAAGGAGGTGACCACAACTCTGTTACCGAGTTGGAACCCGTTCAGCAAAAAGCTCATATAAAAGTCGCACTTCCGCGTAACCACAAGGATAAGCCAATGCATGGCGTCTGGGAAGTGGTCGTTGGTTGATAATGTTGGCGCACCCCCCAAAAATATCGGGGCTTCGGGGGATACAGCCTGACTAGCGCATACTACGGTTAAAAAAATATTTTTTCTGTGACGGGAAAAAAGTTTGATATTTTATCTCTGATGACAGGTAACAAAATGTCACTTTTCATGAAATTACTTTTTTTCCCGGTCCCCGTGAGAAAAGTGAATACTTTTCCACTCCTCCACTGAGGGTTTAACCCTGTGAAAAATAAAATAAGTTACAATCACAATTACTCACATGAAAAAATTTGTTGTAATAGTAAAAAAATAATAATGAAAGTATAATTTTTTCAGGATACCTCCCAGAATACATGAAAGGTGGACAGAATATCGTATTAGAGGGCCAACATTATCCTGTCATCAGAGCAGATGCTTTCAAAGGACTCGATTGTTTTTCTTTGAGTTTGAAGTCAAATAGCATCGAAGCAATCCATGGAGGGGCTTTCGGAAGTTCTTCCATAAAAGTTCTGGATTTGTCAAACAATTTACTGAAATGTATTTTCAAAAGCGGATTACAAGTGAAAGGTTTAGAAGTACTCAACTTATCCAAGAACCAAATAACATATATTGATACCGAGTCATTTTCTGATGGCTTGATGAATTTGAACTTGGAATATAATAGATTGACTGAATTTGATACTAGGAATTTCCCGAATTTAAAAAATATCCGTGATATCAATCTAGCTCGAAATGGACTGATTTCAATACATTTCGATTTGATGACCAAGATAGAAAAAGTGGATTTGAGTCATAATTATCTGCACGAATATAATTTTTCTAATTTGACGAGTATTACGTATCTAAACCTGGAACACAACAAACTACGACGCATAAAAGGGGAATCCTTTCTGAACATGGAAAATCTGCTGGAATTAGATTTGTCTAGTAATATGCTAGAAGATATACTTTTCATGAATAATAGCTTTCCAAAACTGATTATTCTCAAGCTACAAAATAACAATATAAAACATATCCCAGATAACTTGTTCCTGAAGAGCGACAACCTGATGGAGTTAGATTTGTCGCGAAACTATTTGCGATATTTCAATTTCTCTAATAATCAATTGAAGAAGGTGTGGCGACTGAAGATGAACAATATGAAACTACAGAAGATTAATCCGTCACAATTTTTGAATTTCGATTCACTTTCTGAAATCGAGTTGTCACATAATTATTTGTCGGATTTTAACAGTTTCTCCTTCCCAAAATTATGGAGATTGGATTTGAGCCACAATCTTTTTAGAAAGATTGATAACAATTTCTACAATTTGAAAGCTTTGGGAAGCTTGGATTTATCTTATAATTACATAGATTCGTTTGATGTAGCAAAGTGTGAACTGCACAGGCTGTGGAAGATAAAATTGAATAACAATAATATTGCCGAAATTAGCCACAGTCACTTTCCAAAATTAAATTTTCTACTACTTCTGGATTTGTCTAACAACCATCTAAAAACTTTCAGTATTTCTGGAGATGGATTTCAGCGGTTGAGAGTGCTCGACATGTCTTTCAATAATCTTTTAACGTACCAGGAGTCCATTTTTGATAGCTTGAGCTCCTTGCGATTCCTCAACCTGAGAAATAACTTCATAGATCGAGTGCCATCATCAGTCTTTTTCGAAAACTCGAAGTTGTTTTACTTGGATCTCTCCTATAATCTCATCAACTCATTCAAATACAATGAAACGTTTAGAAAAACTAGTCTGAAAACATTCAACATATTCGGGAATCCCATCAATTGTTTACATCTCAGACGAATAGAGGAGTATTCCAGCCAGAATGGGATAGCGATGGATCGTTGTGATGCTCGATTTTTGGGAAACGGAAAGATCCCAATTTGTGTTAACTATGACTGTGATTGTGAATATATATACAGCCCTTTCACTGAAAGTTTTCTCCAGCATGCCTTTCATCGGCGAGATATTAAAAATTGTAGTTTTGATGTGTTATCCCATAATGGAGCCTGAAAAATTATATAAGGTGATTGAAAAAATAAATTGTGACGAGTTGTTCAATTGTATCGATACTGACAAAACAGCCCCTTTGGCGAAATTATGCACTTTGAACTTGAATGGAGTTCAACTAACATTTTCCAAATAAATAAAATACTTGGTGGTGACCGACTAAAAATTGGCTTGGATGTGCTCAAGAATGTTTGCTTCAGAATATTTGTAAACGAAAATGATCTAATTTTTGTTAAGGGAACAAACACTCGACCAACTAAACCTGGCTTTGTTAAGAAGCTGGTTTCTATGGTGAGTGGTCTTTCAGGTCAGATGGTACAGCTCTGCCGAACTCTAAAAACCTGCTGTTTCATTATTTTCCAAAAAGAAGCGACACACACAGTCTTTCGACAGTCCAAGAATCTGCATATGATGATTCAAATGACAGTGACCTGTAAGAAGGTCTGTTAGACATCCTAGTTCATCCCTACTGTAGTCCAACAATTGTTAGGTATCAAGCTTCGAAGGGTGAATAAACGCCTTGGAGTGGGCCAATCCTGGAAGATTCTGACAGAAGTTCATAAATTGTCTTACCATTCAGGTGTTCGATCTTTGTTTGGCAAAGTCTAAAGTGATGCCAATGACAGATGCTTGCAACACCCTCTTTTGCAAGGGAGTCATCAGCCTTATTGCCTTTCAGGCCAGTATGACCAGGAATCCAGACCATAGACAATCTGTAACATCTTCCTATCGAGGAGAGTTGTTTTTGGCAATTTGCTATCAATTTAGACGTTTATCTGTAGGAGCCAAGTCCTTCCAATGCCGCTTGACTGTCCGAGAATATTTTTATTGACTTGCGCAAACCGGAAGGTGTTTTTGATCCATCTGTGAAACAATAACTATTTGCTCTAAATATTTCCTTCTTCCGGAGGATCTTGTCCTCTCTACTCGTGAACAGTACTTTATAAGGCAGTTCCAGAATTCTGTGACTTCCAGTATCAACTAACAGTCTGTTGCACTCTGCATTAAATTGATTTGTGCAGTTGGCAATGTGCACAAGTCTTTATGCAGACTATGTACCCTCTCTACCCAGAAAAATGTGGAGAGGAGGTAGATCTAGAAGGATCTACATGGCCGCTAACGGTGTGGTACTGATGGCACCGCTGATGGCCAGACAAGCCTATCTCTGTAAGCCAGAGAGCTTCGCCTGTGGCGTTTTCTGTAAAACTTTGGCCACCAGGCAATTGCACCATAAGTGATCATTCGTCTGACAATAATCACATAAATCCAATGAATTTGTTTGGTACCTAAACGCCAAGTTTTACAACGAATCCATAGGGACAGTCTGGCTTTGTGTAAATCTTTCGTGAGTGTTTTATCAAGAATAATGCCATCTTTGTTCAAAATGGAATGACCTCACCATTGAGGGAAAGTGGCGTTAGATCGTCCGAATTCCTCCTCTTGGTGATGGGGATGATCAAAGTTTTGCTGGGGTTAATAGACATCTGCTCCCTCAGGCACCAACTGTGAACAACGTCCATCGTGCTTTGGAGGAAATTACAAGCTACCCTTTCCGACGTGGACGTGCACGTGGACGTGCATAAGCTTGCAAATCAACTTTTTTTCTGTCGAGGGCATCAAGCAGACTATCCATCAGGAGCGACCACAGAATGGGAGATAATATCCCACCTTGAGGGCAGCCTCTGGTGACCCTGAACCTAAAGGCCCCGCCTTGAAGAGTTGTAGTTGCAGTTCTGTTTACCAGCATGGCATAGCTCCAGCCAGTTATGGTCGATTCTTTTCCTTTTCTACCCAGAGATGATGTTACAGATTTAGGTAGTGCATTGTCAAATGCTCTTTCAATATCAAGAAATACAGCAATCCCAATCTCCTTGTTGTTAAGGGATTGGAAAAATTTCTCTACAAGGTTGTTTAATGCTAAATCTGTCGATTTGCCTGTTTGATAAGCATACTGGTGGTTATTCAGTATGCTTATCATGATGTGTCTATCCAGTATCCTTTCAAGTCCTTTCAACAGGAAGGATGTAAGGTTGATTGGTCGTACCCACTTTAGGTATATATGCCACCCTTGCTGCCAACCATCTGGGAGTCCGTTTTGAAGAAGAGCTGGAAATATACCATCCTCTTCAGGACATTTGACGGGCTGAAACGATTTGATAGCCCATTCAACTGCCGGTGCTGTGATAACCTTCTTAACGACCTCCCAATCGTTTCTTTTGGGCGTTTGGCGCCCTCGAAGATGAGAGGTCTGTTGTTATCAAGAGTCAGATTTCCAGGAAAGTGGTTTTCTATCAAAAGCTCTAACGTTTTTTTTTACTAGAGGTTGTGAATGTTCCATCTGGTCGTTCAAGCAACCCAATTTCAGCAGTCGGCTCTCTAGAGAGAAACTTGTGAATTTTTTGGCTGTCTAAATTAGGAGAAGGTTGGACGTTGTAGAATTTATTTTAAACGATGTTTTCCTTTCACAGGTTTGTATAGTTGAGTCTAGCAATGCAATCGTGGTTCAGTATAGCACCATTGTTGATACCTAGAGTGAGTCGAAGCGCGCTGATGTTTCTACTTTGTTTTTGGATTCTGATTGTAGCTCTATAGTTGCTATAGAAGACGTGGTGAACTTATACCATCAGGAGTGTGTGCAATGAAAGAAATATCAGAGTCTTCAGAGGTTTCAAGTGAAGAAAATATTTTCAATTTCAAATATTCATTTGGTATATCCCCAAAATAGCTAAGCGAAACATCAGTATATCAATTTATTCCTAATACTATTGAATACACAAATTTTGACTCCTTGAGGTTGAAAATTTAATTCGAAAGATAGATTTCAATTTTTTTCGTCAATTAAACAAGCATTTGGAACTTGAGAAAAAGTTTTCTGTATTTCACGACTCCAATTTTTGAAGTTTTGTCATTTCACTAGTAGATGTCGCAACATGTCTGATTCTGAATATTAATTAGGTCTGTAAACAAAGATTTCTATTATTTGTATTCTACAAGTAGTTCTTGAAAATAATTGAAGGTTGAAGTATATACGGCTCAGTTTATTTCAATCAACTCCACTTCATTTGAGATGACTTCATATATTTTTTTCATTATTATCTGTAGAAAATGTTATATTCTTCGTGAAGGCTTTGTATATAGATTGGTGAAGGCATTTTCAAAGATCCACTTCAGACTTACGTTATAGGATGTCGCTAGATACACGATTTCAGAATTATAGCGGAAAAATTGTTTCATTTCAAATAATGAAAAGTGAACTTCAAAGCATTCAATGATTTTATGAGGAAAGAAACAACAATGTGAGCCACAAAAACTCTCTTCCTTGGAATAGTACATACCATTTTTTCTTCGAATACATATATTTTTGACGATTGAAGAAAAATTAATTGTTTCTCATTGGTACACTGAAATTAATTCATCACAAACTATTTTTTATTTCGTCATTATGAGTTTGGGATAGCACGATAAATGGTAAGACCCTCGTTCACCCTTGGATCGCAAAATTATGATGGAGACTTCTGAGTATAGTTCATTTCAAATGGATGAGGTGTACACTTTTCATCCACTGCTTACGGACTAACAAGAGATACCGATCTAACAATCTTCTGAGAAAAAAGTCAATAGGAAGCAGTTCAGGTGGACTTGTATGAAATGTCTACATGTATCTATTCATTAGTTAGTGAAAAGTATATTCGAGTGATTATTAACATTTTTCAGTAGACTTACTGAACATTCCTCATTCCAAAACAATAACAGTTGATAATATTTTACCTATTCCTGTTTTCATAAACTCCTTACAAAACTATCAATGATTTTGTTTTATGTTATTGCATTTGTTTTAAAAATGATAACTTTTCAGGAATTGTGATGTGTACAATTGATTCAATCATCTCTATTAAATCAGTGGTATTATCAATATTTTTCGAGTAAAGACGGTGCTCCACGAAACACTCTCTGAGAAGTCGTTTAACGAATGGGAGCGTGACGTTATCAGATATACGAAATGCGGAGCCGACCGGAAATCTCCAGAAGTTTCTGTGTAAGTAGTGGAATATCTCAAAAATATATTGTATACAGGTATTGTACATGGGTATACCTATTCAACCCGAAATGCACTAAAAAATTGTTCATAACTGTAACCAAAATAAATGAATGGACTGAAAGGTAACAAACACTTGTGAACAGCTTTGCGAAGAAAGTAGTTCCTTGAATGAACTTGTTCACATGCATTCCTAGCTTTCAATGAATAGGGTGAACAAAATTACAAACTTACCAATACACTCAAATATATTGCTTCACTTTGAATTTTTATTATTTTTAGTTCTTATTTTAATAATTGTGTCTGTCTCAATAAAACTTTCCTGGACTGAACACAACCTGTTCAGACTTGGCTAAGGCGCTGTACCAATAACGGCACATATCTTGTGACGTCACACTAACACTCGTGTAACTGGGCCGGTTGGCTGTCCTTGTTCATATTTCACTGCCTGAACCACTGTGCATGCTGTTTTTGGCAAGTGCTTTGGCTTGGGATGTGGAGGTTGAGCAAACCGGCCATCGGATGCCTGCTTCTACGTAGCCTCGCTGGATACGAGAATGACAGAATCACTTGTGGGTCTGTTATTCCCTGACTGAATGGTGTGTATATTCGTGCCGAGAGGATGAATGACACTGAGTCTATCAGCTGTCTCTACGGAACCTTCGAGATACCGGGCTCCCTCTCGTCGTAGCATCGCCTTGTCACGGTAATGCGGGGCTCTGCCGTGATTGACCGTCTTTCCCAAGCTACTCGTGGGATATTTTTTGAACAGAGCAAATTTAAATGAAATGTTTCTGAGGCTGAGTCTACAGAGGAGATGGATGTCGAGTTTACGACTCCAACTGATCTCCCTGAAAATTTAGTTCAGGAGCGAGAGCTTCTCATTTTCTCAACTCCTGATCCAATAACTTGACCTAAAAAAAAAAGGTTTGGTGGTGCAGCCACGGTGAGAAAACGACTGAGTCGTCTCCTCAAGAGCTGGGTACCTTATAAAACTGCCTTTCACCAA